ACACCACCTCGCTTCCTCTCTCCTTGTCGCCTTCTACTGCCTCCGGCCGGAAGTGTCGGTCTCTCCCGGCTCGCTAGTTTTCCGTCGGCCTCTCGCCGACTTCGACCTCGTGGCTGGCCGGCGGCTCCTTCGCCCCCCCGTCGCGGAAGTCTCTCTCCTTCCGGCGATCCAGCGCGACCACCCCAGCAGTAGCGGCCTCGTCGACTCGGCCGGGCTGTGATTGATGAGCACTCTCAGCACATGACCCGGTCGTCCACAGCGAAAGCATAGCATGCGATCAGGCGGCATCGTCGGGGTTCCATTGCCCGCCCGTGCCCCATCGCTCTCCTCGTCGTCGCGTACCGTTCCTCTTCTTTCTTCTCGACTTCGGCGCTCTCCAGCGACGGCGTTCTCCTCATAACGCGCCTCATCACTTCGGCGAGCAGTTGGAGTTCCTCCTCACTCCATCGACGTCCACCGGTACCTGGCGATCTCTCTCATCAGCCTCGACGGTCTGCTATCTTCCTCGTCCCTCTCTCTCGCGACCCTCTTCTTCTCCCGGAAGGGCTCCACACTCTCAGGCATCACCGGCGCGATGTACGGTTTTCGGGGGCTTCCCTCTCCTCTTGCCAACGCCTCGCTACTCAGCCGGCAAAACAGCGCGGCTAACTAAACAGTTTCGCGCCGAATGTCCCTGAACGTACGCGCGGAATGCGTGTGTCGGCAGATTCCTCACGAATCGCTGCCTCGCCATACGACTACACATCTCCTCGGCCACCCCCGGCACGCTCTAAACCTCGTTAGTCGTTGAGCGTTCTGGCTATAGCGTTCCCAGCGTCTCAGTGGGCTCCCTCCGTCTGAGTCTCCAAGGAGCCGGAAGGTATCGTCGCCCGCTGGATTGCGTTCCTGAGTATTTTCGATATGCACATAGAGCATAGGCCAGGCCGGTTGCATGGAAACGCAGACGGGTTGTCGCGTTGGGCCGAGGTTAGAAGATGCAAGAGGGAGGATTGCCCTGGATGTACAGAGACTGAGACCAAGAACTCCGCCGGAGGAGGGCGGGATAGAAATACTCCCGGGAAGAACGACAGTTTCGCCGAGGAAGGGCGAAGCCGAAGGAACTCCGTGAGCTCCGCTAGAGAAGAGCGGGATAGAAATACTTCTGGGAGGAACGAACGTTTCGCCGAGGAAGGGCGAAGTTAAACTGACTCCGTAAACTCCGCCGGATGAGGGCGGGATAGAAATACTCCCGGGAGCAGCGAAAGTTTCGCCGAGGAAGGGCGAGGCCAAACTGACTCCGTGAGCTCTGCCGGAGCAGGGCAGGATAGAAATATTTCCGGGAGTGGGGAGAGTTTCACCGAAGAAGTCGGAAGAGAAAGGCATATCTCGTGGTTACTGCTAGAGAAGAGCGGGATAGAAATACTTCTGGGAGCGACGAACTACCTGCCGCCGAAGAGCCGGGTAGAACGACCTCTACAAGTCCCACCGGAGAAGGTCGGGATGGTACCTCAGGGAGAGCGCGACGATTCGCCGAAGTACAACAGAGCGAAAGCGATTCCGAAGGAGTGCGGAACATTCAGGACGAGGAATGTTCTAAGCGTGCCAGGGGCACAGGGAAGATCGCAGAGGGAAGCGATGGCCACCGAAACCGAGCGTCGAAGGAATCGAGCGGGCCGACACGCACGAAGCGTGAGAGTCGCCGAGCACGGGCGAAGGAGAAATTCGTGGCGAGAGAGGAAGCGAGAGTGAGAATTCGCCGAGCAGGAGCGAAACAGAAGTACCAGGCGAGGTGGGTGAAGAGAGGTGGAGGATGTCGTCGGGCAAGGGCTACAAAGAAGTTCTTGGCGAACGGAACGGCGAGAACGCGACTTCGCCGAACCAGGAAGAGAGAGAGTCGTGTGGTAGAGAAGATGGAGAGTCTGCTCGGGGATGGAGGAGTAGACTTGGGACGAACCGAATAACCGAGGAGACCCGATTGTTGGAGCCGCGGACAACGAGCGAAGGGGTGCGATGTACACTACGAGCCGCGAACGCCGCCACAACAGCATGGGAACAGCTAGGCCCGTGGAGCGACGATCAGCTGAGGGATTGGCAACAGGGAGACGCCACTCTCAGGCTGATCTGCGATCTCAAGCGAAAACACGTTGACCGGCCGTCGTACGATGCGTTGGCCGAGGCTTCGTGGGAGGGAAAATCCTACTGGAGTCTCTGGGACCGACTGGAGCTTCAGCGAGGACTCCTGTACCGAAAGTGGAACCCCGAAAGCCGACCCAGCGTAACGATCATGCAGCTGGTAGCACCGCTTGTGATGCGCCGAAAGATCATGGAGTTGATGCATGCAGAGAGGATGACAAGACATCTCAGAGTACTGAAAACCATCAAACGCATTCGCCAGAGATTCACTTGGCCAGGCTTACGTGGAGACGTAAGGCGCTGGTGCCGCAAGTACAATACTTGCGCACGCCGAAAAGGGGGAAGACGCCGAAGAGCCGCGTTACAACAACAACAAGTGGGAGCACCGTGGGAGAGAATATATTTTCTGGGACCGCTGCCGACCACCGAGCGAAACAACAAATACATCCTCGTCGTGAGCGATTACTTTAGCAAGTGGACGGAAGCGTTCGCGCTGCCGACCATGACAGCACTACAAACAACTGACTGCTTGGTACCCAAGTATTCGCACGATTTGGTGTACCGCGCCGGCTACACTCTGACCAGGGGACAAACTTCGAGTCTCAACTCTTTCGCGCTGTGTGTGATTGTCTGGGGATCGACAAGACCAGAACGACCCCATACCACCCACAGTCCGATGGACAAGTGGAACGGTTCAACAGGACGATACAGGACTTATTAGCGAAGGTGGTGAATCGCCAACGTACCGACTGGGACGATCACCTACCCTACCTGATGGCAGCGTATCGGAGTACAGTTCAGGAGAGCACTGGGTGCAGCCCGAACTTAATGATGTTCGGCCGAGAAGCGGAATGGCCGCAGATCTGCTAATGGAAGCAACACCAGACGCGGGTGAGCCGGAGTGCCCGATTGAGTACGTAGAATGGCTACGCCACGTCATTCGGGAGGCTCACGAATTCGCCGAGGGACAGCTGGGGAGAGCTGCCATGCGACAGAAAAAAGCATACGACCGTGTAGTTTAGTTTAGTTTAGTTTTCACGGCCGTACCCGCCGGAACGTGGGTATGGTACTGGTATCCACCAGCCGACAGGAAGCTTGGAAATCCATGGACAGGGCCCTATTTAGTAGTACGAGCAAGCGCCAAGTTGAGATGGATACAGCGGGAGGAAGGTGGCGTGATCAAGACCGTCGTAGTGGATGAGCTGAAGCCCTACGAAAGAGAAAATGCCCCTCCTCGCTGGAATCTACTGCAACCTGCTGACCCCGCCATAAGGAGCGGGATATAAATTCCCAGGAACATCGAGAAAGAGGAGGAGGAGAACCCGCCATAAGGAGGCGGGATATAAATTTCCAGGAACATCGAGAACGAGGAGGAGAAGACCCCGCCATGAGAGGGCGGGATAGAAATTCCCAGGAACATCAAGAAAGAGGAGGAGAAGACCCCGCCATAAGGGGCGGTATCTAAATTCCCAGAAACATCCAGAAAGAGAAGGAGGAGATCTCGCCGGAGAGGTGCGAAGAAGAAATGCCTTACCAAGGGCAAGCGAAGAAGATGAGAGCGCTGGGAAACTCGCCGAGGAACACGAAGGTGCTTATCTGCACGAGGAGAGAGCGACTGAAGCATCTGTCGGCGAGAATAGTACCGAAAGTGAGGAAGTTACCAGTGAGATTCGACCGTTGGATGACACTGCTACGGCGGGGAATGACGATGAAACTGATATCTCCGCCCTGCCGGAAGCAGCCCCGAACGGCGAACCGAGGACGACGGAGACGGCAAAGAGAGTCGCCGAAGAGAAACCAGGGAGAGATAAGGCCGAGAGTAGGATGCATAATCGCACCTCTCGCCCTACCCGAGAAGTGAAGTATAGAAGAGAGGGGATCACGCTAATTTCGCCGGGAGAGACTACCCGCACACGCCGAATGGTCCGACCTCCACAGTACTTCGGCTTCCCACTAAAAGGGGGTACTATAGTACGACTATGGCATGATACTCTAATGTAGATGGGTCACCGAGACTAGACGGGGAGAGAGAGAGACTGCCGAACGGAGGCGGGGATAAGAAAATTATCCGGAGGAACCTTATAGGGGAGTGCTGCAGCGTAAGGGGAAAGCTGAGTATGACAGCAACCGATGTATACGCAGGCTATGAGGGTCGAAGGAGAACCCCCTACAGGAGAAACGCCAAACGAGAGAGAGAGAGAGAGAGAGAACAGAAAACACCGAGTGTATCGCAGATACGTATACAGCGTACAGCCGGGACATGCGAAACACCCCTGTGGCCGAATATTGGGACGGACGCAAGCGGCTGATTGGGAAAAAACGCTACGTATATACAAGTGGTGCACACAAGTTGAATCTACGGGAGAGGATGGGAGTGAGAGAGACGGAACGAGACAGAAGAGAAGAGCGGAGAGGAATCACTATACATGAATGAGCTCTGATAGCGTAGTACCTCGCTCTGCAAAGACCGCACGAGAGGACAACACAAAGAATGCCTATGTCGTGGGAGTAGAAGACGGATGCAAGCGTTGCACTGGTAGCAATGGCTGTAGGAATTGTCTACACCTACGAGAAGACAGGTAATACGGTGGTGAAGAATGGAGAAGAGACGTTACGTGTACATGCGAGGGTAAGGAGGACGCCTTACGTTTAGCGTTACGTCCAAGCTAACGTGAAGGGATGCCTTCACAACGCTGTACGAGGTCAGAATGCTTGTTGCAAGGCGAGTGGCTGCATAGCATAGCCACAGTGTTGGAGCGTAACTCAGCACAAGCGCTGCGCCGAACGTGAGAGGTCAGAGGGCAAACGTGTGCAGGTTGCGCATGAAACTGCCTGGAACGGAAAGTGAAAGCGTAAGCTGCGTAACCACCCGGGTGACCCGACTTCCCGCATTTCTTGCGTGACCACGGAGACGAAAGACGTGATGGCAAATCCGCCCGCTGAGAGAGCTGATGCGATTTTGTTACTCGGAGAAGAGTGGGGAGATGAGCTGAGTGAGACCGAGTCGAGCAGCGACAGCGAGGACGGAGACGCGAGTGAAAGAGAAGTGGCTCGCGCGATAGAATCAGGCGCCGCGGGAGAGGGGATAGCTGCTGCCGAAGTACGTGGAAGCAGCGAAGCGCTATCGCTCCGTAGTGAAAGAGAAAGGGAGAAAGCAGCGCTTCACGCAGCCGAGCCGACGTCGAGGGCGATTCGACGCCCGACGCCGACGAAAGCGGTAGCGATGAATGAAGCGAGAGTCCGGGCTAGAGTTGCCGCGGAGGGAGATTTACTGGTGCCGCCCGTGACGGCGGAGGCTGAGAGGGAGAAGCCGTCCGTACACACCGACGAGGCGTGTGAGCCGACGATTGTGCTCACTGCGGCCGCGTTCGGGGATAGAGACGAAGGAGAGAAGAGAGCGGTGACAGCAGAGCAGCAGCCATCTGAGAACAGTGGGTCTACGTTATCCGTAACCGGTAGCCTTGCAGACGCTGCGCACGGTAGCTCGGCTGGTCGGCGAGGAGGGAAGCGCCGCCGCAAGCTTAATCCAAAGGGAGAAGTGCGACCGACGAGCGCGCCGCCGACAGTAGAAAAGCCGAAGGAGGGAAAAAGTCACCCGCGAAGGAAGGGAGGAGTGACCGACGTCGATTGGCCTGAACATTTAGACCAACCTCGATCGCCGAGGGCGATTCGACGCCAGACGCCGACGCTGGAGGAAGTAAGAAGTGGGAAGGCTCCCTAGAGCCGACGGTTTGACGAATCGACGAACCGGGCCGAACAGGTGCCGCCGAATAGATGGGCGTGGTGCCGTACTTGTCAATTACCGACGAGGCATGCGCAGGACCACCAGTGGGAATATCATACTCTATCTGGGTGGCTGGTACACTGTCCATTCAGGAGTTGCACGTACACGTGTGCTGCACGAGTTGAGTATCGGATTGAGCGCACTTACGGCAGACACACCGAAAACCCGGCGGTTACCAGCGAGAGGGAGAGAAGCAGTGGCAGGTGAGACCCGGCTTCATGACAGAATACAGGGGGAGGCAAATGGCTACGCGGTAGGCCACCCCGAACTACCTGCTATCATGGGAAAGCGAGTGATCCGGTTTGCCGACGCGTCGTTGCAGGGAGACCCGAAAGCGAAGAGCTGGGCGACGAAGGAGAAGGGGAAGACTGGAGGGAGAGGCGCTACAGTGACAGCCTGCGCCGACCGACCGAAAACCGGTGAGGGGAAGCACGGGTCGGAATCTACAACAAATCCGCAGGTCGTAATGCGTAAGCTGGCTGCGCCGCGCTCGCCTCCAGCGGACAAGAGGTCGAGAATGGCAGAGCCGCGGGTAGCTGCGGTAGATCGACGGAGGCACCGTAGTGGATCGGGGAGCCGGTCCGAGAACTCTGCTGGGAGGAGGGAGACGCCCTCCCGACTTAGCGGAACAGCGAGGAGCGATACGCATCGGAGCCACTCTAGCCGTGTGAGCCGAGCGAGTCCGGAACGTGAGCGACGACCGGCGACCGAATCAGCCAGTGACTTGCTCTCACCGAATCAGAGATCCGAGAGTGGGACATTTCAGGGGCGACGAAGTATGCTGACAGCGCCTAGCCCGGACGTGCAACTATGGAGACTGGACGACCGATGGCTGGACGAGGTGGGCTTGATCCGCACGGAACTTGTTCGGAAAATGAGCGACGCAGATCTACGCCGGGGACAGGAGCACGTGTAATAAAGCTAAAGTCATTACGATATAGAGAGACGCCGCAGGGCAGGCACTGTTCTTCACCACGTCTATGTCGAGGCTAAGATTCTACACAGGGACACGCCTCAGGCACTTTTGGTCACTCGCTTCGTTATAGGCAGTTCGATACGGGTACTGCCAAGTACGACATTCCGGGTAAACAAAAGGAACCCTCCCCCTATCATTAAAAAAGAGGACAGTAGCCTTGTTTTATAGACACATTAACCTGGAAGCGTAGCACTACTAAGATCACGTGAAACATCCAGACTTGCTTAAATAGAGACGTTTTCTAACAGAGAATCAGAGAGAGAGAGGGAGGAGAGAACCAACCGGGTCTCTCGGAGTCTCTCTCTCTGTCTCTCGCTCTCTCTCCCGGTATGTAAGTATAAATAAGTCTTATCGTATTCGTGTTATAGTTTCGAGATCTTGCATTAAATATGTAACTAATAACTTGTCTCTGTAAGTTTTGTGTACGAATTAAATAGACATTTGTTTGTACGTTATACTTCCGTGTCTGTCTACTTTGTGAATGCCTCAGGGTACCTCACAAGGGTGCCCGCGCCAAGTAGAACATCACAGTTTTACACTACCCGTACACGAGCCGCACGAGCCACACACG